TTATTACTCAAGAATTAGAGATTTTAGCATTAGTGAGAAATGGGCTTTTGACATTCAAGAGACAAGTTAAGTGTATAGCACACACCTGAGCCAGAAATGGAGCTGCGTGGCTTACAGGTCTGCAGAGATACAGTAAGAAAATTAACTCACTTAGAACAGTGATGAGAAATAGCAAAAGAATAGCTGTAATTTAGAAAGAAGAGTTCAGATTTGGTGTTGCAAACTAGTAATTCTTAAAACGCTTTTAACCTGGGGTCTCTCAAACAGAAGATACTATGGCCCACTCCCCTGCTTAGAAGGATAAGCAATGCTAAGTGTATAATATATAAATACCTGCAAAAATCTCAGCAACTTGATATTCTGATAGTCTACCATTCAGACAAAGCACAATTGGGTATTCCTGATCTGGCACCATTCACATGCGTGCAGGGACCCAGGTTGTCCATTCAGCTGATCAGGATTAACACAGTATTTCTATCATAAGATAAATAGTAAATACTTTGGTTTTACAGGCCATATGGCCTCTGCCCTAACTACCGAATTCTACCACAGTCACAGAAAAACAGCCGCACACAGATAAGAGCAGGTACGTTCCAACAAAATTTTATTTGTAGAAACAAGCACTAGCAAACAAGCCAGATTTGGCCTACAAGCTTCATTTGCCAACCACTGGTCTAGGGTACGGAGGAAGACTGTGGCCCTCTGTGCGGAAGACTGTGTAAGAGGTTTCCACCTGGAAGTGGTATACATCTACTCTACTCTTAACAAGCTAGTATTTGGTCACATAATGTGGATGAAGTGAAGAGTCTAAAGCTATGCTCCAGTTCTTTAAAGAAAAAGAAAATCAGGTTGGTGAACATACCTATCCATTCACATGTTCCCAGACATGTTTGTTTTTAGAAAATGATATTCTGCTAATAGAAAAAAATCACTGCTTTCCACACTATTAGGAAAAACACCCAACAATTTACTTGATAGGACAGTTGATAAATGATGATAAAAATTTGCTGATAGTGATGCAAATCAATAAAAAGCAAGAGGAGCAACAATTATGAAACACAACTCAAAACCAATTAATAAACTTATAGTAATTTCCCGAGAACTACAAGAATTCCAACTATGCTTTCAAGTACATGTGCAGTAGGAGTCTGACAGGTACCAAGTGTTCCAGAGTTAGATGATAACCAGACTTCGCCATGGAAAGCTGAATTAGTGTCAACAGCACATGCAATGCTATATGCTCATTAAACCTATTCATTTCCTTCTGGATACACAGGTAACCCGTACTCCACAACTGACTGCAATGGGATTGGGCCATAAATGAGCTTTGGCCAAAGGAATATAGGCAGATATAACGCACACCCCTGCCAAGGCCTGCTTCAAAGCAATGTTCCAATTTAGACACGATTCTTTCTTCCCTCTCATACTGATCTTGTAAGCCATGTGACAAAAGGTGGTACTATACCAAGGAAGGAACCTGGTTCCAGAAAGACTACCTGGAGCTGAATGATTCATGGCGCAGAGCACCAACTTTTTCCATCTCCATCTCCATCTCCAGAACTGCTTTGCAACAAGAGTGAGCAATAAACTCTGAATGGAATAAACCACTGAGATGTAGAGCTGTTTATTTCAGCCAGTACCCTATGCTAGGACAGAGTTCTTACAGACTCCAGAAATGTACTATGTTATAAATATTAAATTTTAGTGCTAGTTTAAAACTAACATCTTTAACAATGTTTAGTTGCATAAAAACATGCACATATTCACCTTATGGGTGATGTACTCTCCTTCTATCAAGAAAGATCTTCACGTCCCAAAACTGGGCTGGAAGTAGAAGGCCAACAATGAAAATAGTACTTCAGGAAACTCGTCTGCTTGTGTTTATTTATTCAAAATTTCTACCACCTGCTGCCTACCAAGCATCCTGGTAGAAATTAAGGACAAAAAGATGAATGATATGCTTATGCAGGCCCGAGCCTCAAACTGTAATGGTGGGAGAGAAAAGTGACTAAGCCGTTAGTGAACAATGTGATGCTCACAGAAGATGTAAGATTTACGGAGAAAATGCTACAGCTCAGGAAATCACCACTGCTCCCTAGAAGAGCAGGAAAGGCTTCAAAGAAGCAGGGGCATATTAAGAAGAAAGATACTAGGAATCAGTAACTTCAGGAAAAAAGTGCTTCAAAGAGTCCTACTCTTTGTTGAAGTAACCCAATATAAAGCCTGTTTTCCTCTATCATTTTCCACAAGGATATGGGAACTATTCCAAGAATAGATGAAAAAAAAAGTTTTATGACTTTAAATGTGCTTTTTTTTCCAGGTGGACTTTACCTACAAAAACAAATAAAATCTACTACTTCTAACAAAATGTTCCCTGGTACATTTAAAAGTTTTGGGCACAAAGAAAATTCTCCAGTTTTAATCATATGCATTATTCATTAAGAGTGGAATAGTACAGTTCTTATGTACCTGTAATCACAGGTAAACCAATTCACTCACCAAAAACAAAATCCAATTTTGCAAGTGCATATTTTATCTTCTACTTTCTTCAATATGTTTACACACTGTTCCCAAGAACCGGAAAGACTCTATAAAGAGATCTATTTAGCATGACTGGAAAAATAATTCATAGCACGTGTCCAAGTGATATGAGTTGGTAGCTTCAAAAGTGCATTTGATTTGGATGTTAATGTGAGAAGTTTATGTCCCACATAAGTGAGGGATGATACTGGGAGGATGAATAGGAACAGTACACATACACTACTGTGGAAAGACAACAATACCTTGACAATATCCTTTCAAATTCTACCCAAGATAAAGATGCTTGCTGAAAATGTGATCTCTACTCTTTTTCTAGGTCTACTTATACTGAATTCATCTTTTTTTTTTACACTTAATTAGAGCTATCCCCTTTCTGCACATTTTGCATTTACTGCAAAGATGGCCTGTGACACAAAGTGACTTTTAGAAATGTACACAGAATGTCCTCATATCCAGTGTTCTATAAATACAGAGGAGAAAAAAGTTTTAAAAGTAAAAAACTTCATGTAATTGCAATCTTTTTATACATACGTCATGAAACAGCTCTATTTTTGACAGAAACCATATTATGAAGTAACTTAAAACAAAGCCTAAATCTATCAAAAGGCCACACTTTTAAAACCCATGGCAGTCCATGTATACAAGTCCAAATACAAACCAATTAAAGATTTAAGGATACTTATTTTTTTCATATTTTGATTCTATTTAAAAATATAACTTTTTTACCATTTCCCATTTTCTTGCTCCTCATTAAGTTATTTTAGACAACTGTTTCCAACAACTTTCTACAAAAATAAGTCTAGTAAAAGGTGAAGAAAGGAAATTTTTTTATCTATCCATATAATTTAGGATTTAATGAAATATATGAGGTAAACTATGCAAAATACCAATGTAAAATATTTTAGAACAGCATATCAAAACTAAACTGTCCAATAAAAAATACAGATACTATAGATAAAATTTTGTTTTTCTAGAGTCTATAAACAAAAGTAAATGATGCTTTCTAAAATCACAGAAAATACCCATTTATTTAGAACACAAACTTCCCTTCAAAAATTTTAAATTTATATTTTCTAACATGTCATAGAAGATACACAAACAAGATATGGGTGAGAAAAGCCTAAAAACTGACTGTTCGCACGTTTTCTGTTTGTAGAGCAACCAAGAAAATGCTGCTTTTTAATACAAAGACATAACAATGCATAAAACATAATACAGGTTGAATTTCACTTACCCAAAATGCTTGGGAACCAGAGTTTCACATTTTAGGACTTTCTGATCTTTGGGATATTAGCATTTATTATACTTGAGTATTCCTACTCCAAAAATTCAAAATCTGAAATGCCCCAAAACCCCAAACTCAAAGAATTCTATTATTATGAAATCATTAACACTTAACGCCAGTATTTCTTAAGGAAAAGCATTTCAGATTTTGGGTTCTGGCTTAGGGACGCTCATATCATGGCAGTCATTATTTACCAGTTCCTATTTGGGGCCTGAAGTACTGCATACAGTACTTCCTACACTATTTATCCTGAGTTCTACCAGTAGGTATTATTTCCCTCATTTCAAAGACGAAGATGCTGCGGTTTACAGAGGTCATAGCACTACTAAGCGAAGATTCCCACTCAGGTGTCTATATAAACTTCCATTACATGGCAAACATTCCACAGTGCACTGCCATGAAAATAGTTTAAACTTTCATTAAATTCATTGTATTCTTTGCTTGAGGTTTCCTCAATAATCCATCATTTACTTCTGCATATTCCACAATGGTATTTAAACACTGATAGCTCTGACTTCTAAGGAGTAATTTACATGTAGTATACACACATATACACATAAGTGAGAATTCAGAGTTTGAAAAATCTAATTCTTTATCATAATACTTATTCCTATGACTATAAATCATCATATAGAGCCCTTTGGCACACTATACCGAAGTACCCACAAAGTTATTGAATTCCACTAACATTCACAAATAAAAACTTTTCCAAATAGTCATTTAATAAGTACAATTAACATCTATTATGAAACCGTAAGTACTTAAGCCAGTATTTCTTAAATAGCCCACAGGATGCTACTGGTCTACTGTTCTCTCCAGACAGCCCAAGAATTCATACCTGGAACACATACAGCAACAGCTTTCTGAAACCTCTGCGTTATTCACTCTCATCATGTTTCATCAAAAGCCATGCGCTTGCGCTAAAGTTTTAGAGAGTTTCTGGCACACATAAATGAAAGTAGACTGGGGGGATTAGGGGGGGAAGCATCTTTTATTCATCCAGGATGAAAAGTTCAATTTAGAACATATATGTAACTCTGTCTGGCTCTATAATTAACTTTAAAAATAAGAAATGAAACAAATTTAAAATACTCATGTCTTTAAAAGAAGTATTTGGTATTTTCAAGTACAAGATTTTTCCAAATAGCACAAATTTCACCCATATTAAGCTTACCTTGAAGATGGCATTATATTTGAAGCCCTGAATTTTGTTGTAAATGGATTAGTTGACTCATAATCAAAATAGTCCTGCCGATTTTCACTAAAAGCATTGGGTGATTTCAAGTCACAAGGGCTATCCGAACCCCCATTGTTCAGTTTATCAGACCTTCTGCTTTCTTTTTTCCCAGTCACTCTTTCAAACAGGCTAACTTTCTCCCTTTTCTCTCTTTTATTTTCTTTTCTTACTTCAATTGGTTTTGAAAACAAATTCATGCTACTGTCCCATGATTCACTGCTTTCTTCAAATGGATTTTTCTTTCTTGGCAGTGTTGCAAATTTTTGGGGTAATGAAGCAGTCACGTTCGTAAATAGGTCATTTTGTCTTCCAAAAGACAATTCACCTTCATCCACAATGCTGTCAGGTTGGTTCATTTTAGAAGTATCAAAGCTTAATGTTCTTCTGTGTGGAGATTTGAGACTTCCTACAAACAATTTTGCAGTTAGTACACAATCAGTGACACATTACATCACACTATTTGACACAACACGTGCATTCTGCTGCTTTTAGAATGAGCACAATTAGCTATTTAAAGGTTTTAACCTTAAAAATAATCATGGAAAACAACCTTAAAGTGGTAAGGTACAGCAGTCTGAAGTGTCTAGGTTAATAATAATTAGTGCACTGTTAAGACAATTACTAATTTACTAGGCTCAGGAACCATCGCATAAACAAATACCAAGAATCTATTGGGATGATAATGCTGGAAATTCACAAAGACATTTCTTTCTTCATGACATATTAGCATTGTTTACTTTCTTACTTCCGAACATAAAAGTATTATTTTACGAACTTTATTAAAAAAATGGAATATTCATTTATGTTTCTGTCTTTCAAGGCAGAAGAAACAGCCATTAAAAAAGAAGGCAGACCATGAAGGAAACTGGAACTCATTATCATCTAATAATATAAATACAAATTCAGACACGCTCTGCCTTCAACAAACTTACCAACTTGGGGTATCGTAGACACACAATTAATATTCAATATATGATCAAATTTTAAAAATACTAGAAACTTCATGGTTTTTTCTAGTTTTAGAAATCAAATCTTAAAAACCAGAAAGGTATTTCAGACCACTAAAAGTACAACTAGAAAGAAGGAGCCACTTACCACTTTCTGGAACTGCTCCAAAAGAATCTATCTGGCGTCCAAGAAGATGTGTTTGACCTACAGTGCCAGACTTTAGTTTCTCAGAAGATACGTGGGACCCAGTTAAATCAGACATTGAATGTGCAGAAGAGAGTCTCTGAGGACCCAAAAGAAAAGGCTTTTTTGGTTTGGATTTCATCTGTATTTCACCACTTGAAAATTCAGTATTGGCATCAGGCATGTGAGTACTTGGAATGATTGCAGAAGATGTATCAGAAAATGTCCCATCATTTTTTCTACCTTTCATCTTATCTTTTAATTTTGCAAAAGGAGATCTTGTTTTGTCCTTCATTGATAAGTCAAACATACTTGCTGTCATATTGTTCCTCATAAATTGAATATTGACCTTTATCTCACCCCTGTTTTTGATTCTTTTTCCTTGTTTTGATTCTAATCTAAACCACCTTAAAGAAAAGAAAAAAACAGGTTGTAACATTTAATAAAGAAAGGATGTTAAGCTTTGCTATACACAAATAGCTACATCATCCAAAGCTACACATCAAGGCAGTATTAAGCATGAGTGAGAGCCTGCTCACAAGAGAAGCTCCAGTTTCCCCCACTGTTTAACTTTAAAAATTGATCAGTTTCTGTAATGTGACATATACTAAGGCAACAGATCTCTGGTGAATATGATAAGGTGTTTAGATAACATTTTCTTTCATACTTGAAAATTACTCATCATCAAAAATTCTTACCAGCAATAGTTAGTACGTTTCCACATAGGATAATTATTTCTAATGGCTAAAGACATTTTTTAACATTAAAGGATACTGAAGCAGAGATTTTAAAAGAATTCATCAATTCAAATTATGGCTACTATAAAATGATAAATAATGATAACATTTTAATAAAATACTTCGCCCATCTCAAATATTACTTATATAAAAGCATTAAAAGAATTTTAATGGTGACTATTACTAATAGTTTGCTAGTCATTAAAGCTGCAAAAGATGTAATTTACATTCATCTAAATGGATCAATATGCAAATTACAAATATAGTATGCAAATGACGAATAACAAATCATGAAGTTTTCAAAAAGTTTAAATGCTTCTGTTAGAATCTACTTGCTTCATTTATTGTTGCTACTGTGATGCTACTGAATAAAAATTACCTTATAAAGCCAAATCTTAAGTTTTCATTCACTTCAGTATATTATATTGCCCATTTTTAAATGACGTATGAGAAGCAAAGTTTATTTTGGTTTTGTTTATAGTACTTTTATCCATGAGAAATTCTCCAGTTCTTGGTGTCATAAGTTGTCTTTCTACAGGGCAAACAGCCCAAAGAAAACTGTAAAATTGAGTCTAAAAAAGTGTTTGTAAGGGGCTGGGGATTTAGCTCAGCAGCACAGCGCCTGCCTGGCAAGTGCAAGGTCGTGAGTTCGATTCCCGGTACCAGAAAAAAAACAACAAAAAAAAGTATTTCTACAATGTATTCACATTCCTTAGCAATGAGGCATGATAGCCATTCCTTCAGATAAGTTATTAAATGCACTCTACTTTGAGTGTGGCAGATTTTCTTAGCTACAAAGGAACTCTTATCTAGTTTTACATTAGTCCTTTCTCTCATTGTTATCAACAAGAAACGCCAAAAAACACTGCACTTATTATACACCTTGTGGAAGACTGGTTCACAGACCTTTCCAGGAAGGAGAGGGAATGACCATATTAACATTTATACCACTTAAGTCACAGCAAGTAACATGCTGGTGAAATGTGTTTTCTTTATCCATTACATTGGAGCAATTAAGGTATGGAGTAGTTGTATCAAAACAGTTTCTTAGAAGAGATTATTTTATAATTGAAAGTGTTAACCTGAGACCAAAAGCCTTTATATAAGACAAACAGAAAAAACTGAAAAAACAGAGACCAGAAAGAGAAAATGACAATAATAAACTACGGACTACAGAACCATGAAAGATACAAATCTGAGCATGCAAATGCCTGGAAATGGAGCAAGGTTATACATTCAGCAATTAACTCATGGCTGTGGAAAACAGAGTCATTTTCAGCGTGGGGAGGGAAGGAACACTTTTGATAGATGCTATCGCAGAAATACCGTTACATCTCCAGCTACACAGAAAATAGGTGAATACAATTTCTGAGAAAACAAGCAAACATATGGTATTTGGATGTGTATAATAAAGTGAATCTGAGAAGAAAACAAACCAATAACCCCAAAAATGTAGATAAAAAGAGTCAAAATTCACAGAATTTTAGCTGTAAGATCAAGTAAAATAATCTACTTTAACATCCTTATTTCACAGATGAGGAAATTGAGGCATAGAGAATGATATGTAATTTCCCAACATCAGAGTAAAATCAAATAAGGAAAAAAATCCCAAGCTGATGAATAACAGCTGTAGGAAAATAGTTCTTCCTTATTTGACGAACCACATGTGTTAATAAGGTTAACCGCATGGTTGCCACGTATTACAGGATACTGCATTTAAGCAGGAGGCATGATAGCCACGGAAGGTGGCTATACAGACTTTCCACCATCAGAGTATAAGCTTCTTGAAGGCAGTTAACTGTATATGAAATAAAATGCTTACTCAGTTGTTATTTCCAGAACCAATATTCTTAAAATCACCAACCTATACCAACATGTGTGTGTTGTAATGTGTTGTTTTTCAGTAGGGAACGGGAGAGACCTAGGTAAGCTTTAAAGAGTAAAGCAACTCTGTATTTAAATAAAAATTATAAATACGGTGTATTTCCACCCCTTCCAAAACCCTGCAAAGTATTCTAACATTATAAATTAGTGTATTCCTTAGAATACACTAATTTTAAAAAAAATAAGAATAACAATTAATTTAGCTGCTTTGTTTTGAAATTGATATAGGCGAGAAGTCTTAATGAGACCTTCAAAAATCACTCCTGAGAGTGTTTGTTTTCCCAGGCTTCAAAAAGATAAAATGAAGACATAGCATCTGGGGTTTACTGGATTAATGCTGATTTTTTTCACCTCTGGAGCGCTGGATTTAAACTGTTTATGGCCTCTGTTCAATTTTCAGTGGGCACAGGTCCATGTCCCAAAACCACCACACATGTGGGAACTATTCCCAAGCAATTGGTGCTGTGTGGTCAGAAATGGGACAAGATTGGCAGTAAGGGTGCCAGAGGCCAAGAAGCAGGTGCACTTAGGAGACCCCCACAAAGTCCTAAAATCCACATATGTTTGAGTCATGCCTAACTCTGGGGTCTCTTCATTGTTACTTATTTTCATGAACGTTTTTTTAAAAATCGACATCACCTACTTCTGTTGTAAGAAAAAAAAAATCAACATATATTACATAATAGCATCAACAATTTACCATTCTGTTATCAAACATATAGTTCCTTAAACTATGTGAGGCAACCAACCCAAATAACCATTGAAGAGGGAGGTAAGAGGTTCTCTATCTACTAAAAGGGTCTGGCTCAGACCCTTTACCTCTTCTCCTTAAAAGAAAAAAAGAAGTATTTTCAAGGTGTAAAGCAAGTAATACAATACTTTTAACTATTCCATTTCTTTGCCTTTTGTGACACTACTGGAGGACAAGATGTAAATACTTGTCCTCAGTCTTAAAAAGTAAAAAGTGTCACACCCAGCAGTTTCATGGGACTTTTCTAAATCAGCTGGTAGCCTTCATCACTCACACCAGTTTTCTAAAAAGTGCTTGTGAATAATATGCTGACAAGGTTCAGCAATGTGCTGAATATTAAGTATCTTTCTTGAAATACACCGGTGGCTCAAGTCTGTCTCTTACTATGCCACATGTACAGCTGTGCTAGAAAAAGGAAGCTATTAAATATATTAAAAATCTAGAAATATTACCAATAAAGATACCTCATCAAATACAAGCTCCCCATTTATCCACAAAGAAAATGTTAAAGGTTTAATAACATGAAAATCACTTGAATGCAATAACATCACAAGCCCTATTGATAACATTTCAAAGCATTTCTCCCCCTGAGGTTCTAATCAATTTTATATAAAGACTACAATATTAGGAGTATTGCTTATGGCCATGTTTAATGTAACTGATGCTGCCAAAGACAGGAATAAAGAAGAAACTTTAAAAGGTTCATTTTCAGATTCTTTCACACTTGGACGTATTTTAACTTGAAAAGTTTATGTCTTCGAGGCCTGCATTATATTATACATTAATATTAAATGGGCCCTTTAAACATAGTTCAAAATTTGAAGTTACAACATACTCATAAGTTTACCTTCAAAACAATTTACATAGTATATACTGAATCACACCGAATTAGCAATTTAAAACAAATTATTTGGTAATTATTTTTTCATTTTAAATTTGATGAATACTGTGCAGGAAACAATGCTATTTTTAAGTATAAAGCAGTTCTGCTATTAAAATCATTTATGAATGTGCAACTTTAAAAAACACCTTTTCTCCTCTTTAAAAATATTTGTCTCTTCAACTAGTTTAAATTTTTACCATTTTTCCTCCTGCACTCCTAGTATTTCTCATCTCACTTCCCTTTCACCCTACATGTACTGAATTTAAAAGTCCTGATTCAAAATAAAACAATTAACTCCCATGAGAAGTCTCCAGGCAGATTAAGTATACAAAAACCAAGAGATGGTTGTTTTAAAATACAAGAAATTAACACAAACTTAGCAAAAATTATTATTGTACACTAGTTTTAATGAGTACATATATTTCAATTATGACTGAAAGAAACATCAAAACTACTCCGGAAATCTGAAGTACTCTTACAAGTTGAAACCATTTTTCTCCCACTAATTTCATTGATCTCGATGTTCTTTCAGGCTAAAAAAACAAAAAAAAACTGTAAGGTTAATAGATGGGTGAATTATCTATTTCTGAAAATATTTTTTTCAGTGTAAGACATATACGGTGTTCATCTGTATTACGATTTTTCAAATTAAAATATATCTAACTCCAGCTTGAAAGACTGAAAAGGCCACATTTTCATTGAAGAAGTCATTAAATCGCTTCATCACAAGAATTTAATCATTGTCTACAATCTTACAGCAGTTAATAAGGTCTAAACATACTAGCTTTGCAAAACGAACTCTGAAGTAATACAATAGCTCCAGTATATTGCAAATTCAAAGAGAAATGTTAGTGAGTTCAAGACTGAGAACATTTGTACGTACTTTGAAAACTTTTCTTTTAACACCTTTATACTCTAACAAGATGTACTGACCCTGAAAAACGGCTAGGCTAAAGTAAGGGCCAACTGTGTTTATAGTTCTAAAATGAAATAGTGAGTTTTAAAATTGGTAATATATAGTTTGACAGCCACGGAGTTCATCATACATATAAACATTACATTGGAAGATTTAATTTTCTGATTTTCCACATCATGGGAAACTGTAATGTTTAAAGAACATAATTTATACCTACAATGGTTCTAGTCAGCCAACACTGTGATCCAACCCTTTTTAAAAAGTGAAATAATATTGACGTTCTTAAAATCTGGTAAAAAATATTCAATTATTTAACATGTTTACCTCGGACAGAAAGGAGGAATAATACATCATTAATCACTCCATTTAAAAAATGTTTCATCACAAGGGCTATTTTTACTTCCGTCATGCAAATAAGGTGCTTAAAACTGGGTCATATTTCAATCCAAAACCAATGCCCCATGTACACAAATAGATTTCCAAGAACAGAAACACCATAAATAAGGTATAGGTAAGCTCCCCAAAATTCAAAACAAATTACATAACTTACTCTGTTTTCCTCCTTTGTTTGTCCTCAAAGATGTCATTGAGATTGATTGCCACCTGCCCTAAAAATTTATCCAGACCTACCAGGGATCTGTGCATAACTATAAGGAAAAGAATGTATTTCTCTGGATTCCCCTGCATTAGCAATCCAGGCAGCTCAAAGGAGGCCTCTTCCTTCCAGACTGGCTCAAGGGTTTTCTCAGCTACAGAGGTGGAATATTTTTCCTTGCCCAGCTGAATTATAGTGTATGTGTCATTGGTGCCACTTTTGCCTTTTGGCTTCAGATCTTTGGCTTGGAGCACTGTGACCTGCACGTGGGTTGGGAACCACTTTTGGGCTTGCTCGGACAGCATCGTGCTGTCCTTTCCGCACTGAGTTCACCCGCGCAGACAGTGCCCCTCCCGCGGGGAGAGCCTAATTCCGTAAATCACTGCATTCTCGGGGCTTTTAACTCTCGGGGCCGGGCCGACGCGGGCTGCCAACGTCTCTAGGGCTGATGTCAAAACGCCTCACGGGGGCAGCCTGGGGTCACGGCTGCTCTGGGGGTCCCTTTCCTCTGCAAAAGCTCAAGGGCCCACATCACCTGGCCACGCCGTGCAGGCCTCCGCGCGGACCCCGCGCCTCTCGTCGCCACCTTCCCGCGGAGCCCGCCCCTGCGCGGCGGGCGGCTCCCGGGCCGAAGGGAGGGC